GTATATATATTATTTTCTTTACTATACTCTAAGGCCTTAGAGAAAAAGATTTGCAAAATATACTTCTTGTTTTAAAAAAATTCCTAAAAAAATGGATAAATAAATAAATAAAAATAAATTTCAAATAATTAATATTAAAATTTAAAATTCAGTTCCTCAGTCACATTAGCCACATTTTGAGTGCACAACATGTGAAGCTAGTGGCAGAGATATAGAATGTTTCTATATCAGTTGGACAGCACAGATATAGAACATTTCTATCATCACAGAAATCTCTATTAGACAATGTCAGACTAGGGTGTTCCCTGCATTTTAAGAATGTCCCCATGCCAAAGTTAAAAAAAAGAAAAAACTCTAGATAAAGAAATGAAACTGCAATGTAAAATGTGAAGAACGACGTAGTGTATCTGCACAATATCATTGCAGTCCCATAAAACAGGTATTTAGGGAGGGAAAGAAAACTCAAAGTTGAGTGTGCCATGAATTTGTATCTCAAGAAGGTGGGGTATTATCACCTATTCCACTAGTGATAACGACATAAATTAAAATATATAATTAAGTTCCAATAAAATTGATTTCTTATCTTATTAAAAGTTTGCTGCTCCATATTATGAGATATCCGTATAGACATTTACCCCAAAATATTAAGTAGATGATGAATGCTTTCTTAAATTTCCTGTAATGGAAGTGGTTACAAACTCAGACTCTTTGTTCTCCCTCTGAGATTTCTATATCTTCTTCTTATGTTTGCATTTTCATACATATGTTTAGTATATTTGAATTTTCTAGATAAAGAAAATGGCATCAAATTTATGATTCTGATATCACATTAGCCATCAATTAATTTATCAAGCTCTTGCAATATGCTAAATTAGGTGCTTTGCTATATAATTCCTAAAATAAGCCCTAGCAGTCACAAAGATTACAGTTAGTGAAAGAAGCATACAGATAAAAAGTTTAAAAAGTAATACACCCACATACAACCAATATTGTAAATCACTGCCAAGTGGTAATTAGTGGTTCTTTTTTTTTTTTTGCTTTGACTGCCAGGAAACATATAGCTAGATTTTAAGTTTCATTAACCCGTGTTATTTATTCTCTCCCACATTTGCTTTTGTATTTGCATTTTCCTTTTTAACTGGCATACTGTTTTATGTGGTCTCTATTATAAGCCTTCTCATCATCATTTTGGAAATAGACCAAATATATACCATAATAAATAAAAAGTAAATACTGTAGTATTGAACATTGCATAATAAAAATGGTACTGATGTGAAGTGTTAGGATAGGGCAGTGGAGTGCAGAGGAGGATGCATTGTGGATCATTTAATGGGAAAGGTGCAATTTAAGCTGGGTTATTGGAAGACAGAAGGAACACAAACAGCTGGAAAAAGCACAGGAGGTCATTCTAAAGAGCAAGGCATGGAGATGGGAGTGTTTTACTAGACCATTTGGATTGGGATTGGAGAGTCACATGGCAGAATATGTCGTTACCAGGCTGGCCTCCAATTCCTCTTTTTGACATTAAGAGAAATTAAGGGCTAACAAAATTTAAAATGTTGTCCATGTTTTCACATAGCTACTGCCCAAAACAGATATTTTAAAATGTATCATTAAGGAAAAATACACAAAATTATGTGATTCTCCATGGACCATTGTCATGAAAAGAGAAATGAGTTTAGATGATTCTGAGATTAGCACTGAGACAAATCAGGACACCTGGGAGGAGGTCTTTGTTGGAAAATAAAAATATGCGCTTGTAACTTTCTTGTCTAAAACTAGAATGTAATGATTCTTAAATATGCATACACACAAATTTTCTTTAGTAGCTGAGAAAATGCATGCACATGGTAATCAGATCAGTTTTGGTTTCAACATAACAGCCTAATGCCTCTGTGATCCTTTTCAAGTAGAAAGCATTCTAGAGCAATTGGCGATTAGTACCAGTATAATAGTCATTTATAAAATGATGTTTATCATTTGCTATACATACAAAGCATAACATTTAAAATATCAGATTGTCTCAAGGCCCTTAGCACCATGTTAATATTTTCTTCCGCTGGAATTGGTATTGGTTTTGCTTGTTTGTTTAGGAGATAGCTTCTTAAGATGGTGATGGATATTCTGCCATGTATGAAACCATGCATGGAATTCAGAATCCCCAGCTTGTAAAATAGCACGATGGTCATCTTTGGTGAGAAATTGTTCTCACATTACTGAGCAAAGAGGAATGATACTAAAATGGGGGATATTACTCATTCTTAAGCTTCTGAAATACTTTCAAGTTCAGCCAAGAATGATATACATTTTAAATGCTTATTATAAGGAAAGTCTTTTTTTCCCCTCTGTTTCTTAACGGTAATCAAAAACTTTTAACTGAATAAAATTTCATACTATTTATTAAAATTTAAGGCAAGGTACACCAAATACCTTTGAATTATGAAAAGGTTCATGACGTGGGATATTCTTTCAATTA